TCCGAGATCACTGCGATGTTCAGGGAGATGGCCTTTCTCGTTCTGTAGTATGTGGTGGATGAGGGAATGAAAAATGTTAGATATCATGAGATGTTGTGGAGTGATATCCGCCAGTTTGTGAGCCGTTCCAGCTGCAAGACACTGGAGGACATGATTGCTAGGGCGAGAAAGAGAGAGAGGGAGAGAGAGAGAGAGAGAGAGAGAGAGAGGGAGAGAGAAAGAGAGAGAGAGAGAGAGAGAGAGAGATAGAGAGAGAGAGAGAGAGAGTTGGATTTAGAGATGGAGAGGAAGACGAAACCTGAGGGGGTTCATTCAGGGAGTTCAGGCAAGAAGACCAAGGTATCAGATCATAAATCTCAGAGTCAGCAGAGCCATGACCATTATGGAAAATGCGGCAAGATGCATGAGGGAACATGCAAGGCGGGGAGTTTGGGCTGCTACAAGTGCGGCTGAACCAGTCATGTGAGTCGAGATTGCACAACCACCTCTACCATCACGATAGCATTAGATCTGATTTGATTTCAGTGCAATCAAAGGGGACAAAAGCGGTCCCAATGCCCGAGTTTAGCAACAGCAGGGAAGGTGGCAACACCTTCTCCTGCCACATTAAGGATAACAGATGGCCGTCAGGTCCGGGCTGAGGTGCCTACGGTGCGGAGCAGGGATTTTTAGCTTACTACAGAGGAGGCACGAGCAGCTCCTAACGTGGTGAAGGGTATGTATCTTCTCCTTATCTATTTATGCGTATTGATTTTTACTTATGTTTATGTGTTTCATTTAGGATCGTTCCTCATGAATGGTATTTTTACTCTGGTATTGTTTGATTCGGGGGCTACCCGATCGTTTGTGTCGCTCGCTCTTAGCAGGCGGTTTAGTAGAGCTCTGGGAGAGCTGGACTGTCCCTTGGACATCGAGATAGTATATGACAGGACTGTCAGGGTTGCGAGGGTTCATCAGGGGATGTACGCTACTATTGTTTCATGAGTAGTTCTCAGTAGACTTGGTTCCTATTCCTCTATGAGGGGAATAAGGTGATCGTGGGTATAGTTAGTTAAGTCCAAATGAAGCAATGGTCGACTGCAAACAGCAGCAGGTGAGGGTTCGGACTCCTAGTGGGGAAGGGTTAGTGATTCAGGGTGAGAGGCCGTAGAGTGGACCGACTCTTTGTTCGGAAGTTAGAATGAGGCACTATCTTCAGCAGGGTTGCGCAGGCTATGTCACCTATGTCATGGATACCTGTGATAAGGGTAAGGAGACATGGGATGATGTACCGGTCGTGTAAGAGTACACGAATGTATTCCCATAGGATCTGCCTAGGATACCTTCAGAGAGATAGGTAGAGTTCAGGATTGACCTACTTCCTAGTGCATCTCCGATAGCCAAGTCACCATACTGGTTGGCTCCTACCAAGATGCAGGAGTTGTCTACACAGCTGAAAGAGTTGCTAGACAAGGGATTTATCAGGCTGAGTATTTCGCAATAGGGAGCCCCGATTCTATTTGTGAGGAAGAAGGACGGGTCACATTGCTTGTGTATAGACTATTGGGAGCTAAAAAAGGTAACGGTGAAGAACCGTTACCCACTCCCGAGGATAGATGATTTGTTTAACTAGCTCTAAGGAGAAGCTTGGTTCTCCAAGATTGATCTACGGTCAAGATATCACCAGATGTGAGTCAGGGACGATGATGTGTAGAAGATGGCTTTTCAGACTCGCTATGGTCATTATGAGTTCATGGTGATGCCGTTTGGGCTCACCTATGCGTCAACCGTGTTCATGGATCTCATGAACCACGTTTGCAGACAATTGTTGGATCGGTCTCTGATAGTCTTCATCGATGATATCTAGGTCTATTCCAAGACTTAGGACCAGCACGAGGTGCACCTGAGGGAGGTGCTGGAGACACTAAGGAGGGAGGGACTTTTTGCAAAGTTTTCCAAATGTGGGTTCTGGTTGTGCGAGGTGCAATTTCTTGGGTACCTTGTCAACCAGAAGGGTATCCTGGTCGACCCGGCTAAGATAGAGGCCATGTTGCAGTGGGAGATTCCGAGGTCTCCAACTGAGATTCAGAGTTTCCTGGGTCTAGCGGGTTATTACCGAAGATTTATTCAGTACTTCTCCAATATTGCAGTTCCTTTGATCCAACTGGCCAAGAAGTCGGTGGCTTTTTCGCTGGGGGCCTGAGCAGCAGGTAGCCTTCGAGACGCTCAGGCAGTGGTTGTGCGAGGCACTGATTCTCACCCTGCCATAGGGTGTCGATGATTTTGGTGGTTTACTTTGACGCTTCGATCATGGGCATGGGTGCGATATTGATGCAACGGAGTCACGTGATTGCTTACGCTTCGAGGCAGCTGAAGCCTCACGAGGTGAACTATCTGATGCATGATTTAGAGCTGGGGGCTGTGGTTTTCTCCCTCAATATTTAGCGGTACTACCTCTATGGGGTTCGTTGTACCATTTACACAGACCATAAGAGTTTGAGGTACCTTA